AGGACTGATCGCTTTCTTGAGACAAATTTCACCACACACTCTAGCTGAGTAGCAGACAAGCTAAAGTCAGAATGGGCTCCCTGGCTCTTCCAGCAAGCACAGGATGTGCCAGTGATATGAGGCAGAGCCCAGCAGACATCAGCTGGGTGGAGTGGGTAACTGGCCATGTGGAGCGATGTGAGAGATTCCCAAAAAAGGTGCTGGATTGAGAAAGCCCTTCCTCTTTGCTACAGACAGGGGTTGTTTTTATTGGCATTACTGTGAGATAAGTCTCACCACTCTGACGCTTCCTCCATCTGCCAACATCTCATCTCCTCAACAAAGGTTAAGGGAAGTTTAATGACTTGGCCAAACTGACAGAAATGAGTGTCTGCATTAAGCAAATGCATATTTAGGTCTGGAGTTCAGCAGAGAAATCTGGGCTTTTTCTGTAGATCTAGGAGTCCTCCACCTTGGCGTGGTAATTAGAAAGTGTGGAAGTGGATGAGACAACTGAGGGAGAATATTGGAGAGCTGAGCACAGCAGTGTTTAAGAGATAAATACAGACACTGAGGGGATGTAGCCAGAGAGAAAGAGAAAACCTAAAAGAATTAGATATCATGGAAGCTCAAGGGTGAAATTTATCTGCAGAATCAAATGTTGCTGGGAAGGCAAGATCCAATTGAATGGCATGGACTTCAAAGAATCAATAGTTGAAGCCATCCTTCTGCATCTTTATAGATTTACATTGTTCTTTTTAAGGGCTGTATAGTATTTCACGGACGCTGTCCCACATGTACTTAACCACTCCCTACCTGGGGACACTGTCTCCTATTTTTCAAAATTATAGATAAGTGTGAATACATCTTTTCACATTTGTGTAGTATCTCCTTGAAGTAAAGTCCTACAAGTAGAATTTTTGCCACAAAAAGTATGTACATCTTATGTCTTAACTGTTCTTGTCAGATTACCTTCTGGAAAAGTTGTACTATTTTACAGTGCCCTCAGAAAGAACACCAAGTAGATAGTTCTCCCAAACTTGTCAATGTGTGAGTTTGAGCAATTTTTAAAAATCTTTGCCAATCTAATTGTTTTAAGTTGCCCCTTTCAATATTAGTGTAGTTGAACATTTTTTTCATGTATTTATTGACCATTTACATCTTCATTACCTGTTTGTCACTTTTGCCCATTATTTTCTATTGGAGCTTTAATTTTTCTTTATTTGTACCAACTCTATTGATATTATATTACTGTTGTCAATATTTTCTTCAGTTTGTCTTTGTCTTTCAGCCTTATATGTGATTATTTTTTGCCACACAGAAGTTTTCAATTGTTTTTACTCATCATTATTTCTTTATCATTATTTTTTCCTGTTTTCTTTTATTTTTATGTGTTAAAGTATTTACATTTAAATCTTTGGCCTGCTTACATTTACTTAGATGAAGTGAGTCAAAGATCTAATATTTTCCCTTTAGTTGCTAGTCAATTTTAACAACATTTTTTGATCAATCTGTTCTTTTCTCTAGTGATTTGAATGTCACTTTTTGTCGCATACATAACTAGTACTGGGTTCTTTTCCATTTTCCCGCCATCTGCAAACCTGGAGCTCCATTGTGGCATCAGAGTGTGAGACCTCACCCAGCCCCTAATTCATACTCAGCCAGGGGAATTGGTGAGCAGTGTCTCAGATGGAGTCCAGGAAGTAGGGGGAGAGCGTTTCAGCAGCTCTTGGGGAACAAAACTCTGACTCATGCAGTGACTGGAACATCATGGGCGGCTCCTTCGAAGCACAAAAATAAACGGGGATCTGACAGCACAGTGGCAGGCTGCCTGGGCATTTATTCCCTGGACTGCAGCCCTGGGATGATGGTTTCTCTGCTTTATTCTGGCCACTGCTTTAGGCGCTGGTATGATGCCCACTCATAGGAGAACTGTACCTAATACAGGGTTCAGGGTGATCAGCACCTCCAGGATAAATGCTGATCTCCAACGGGGATGAGAAGGCACACCCAGATCCTGGTGTCCCTTCCCCAGATGCTGACCCCCACCAGTTTCCCTCCCTCCAGTCCTGCTTCAGGGTTCCATTGCTTTTCTTTTGGGCACTCACCCCAAATGTACCAATTCCCCCCTCTTTTGAGCTAATGTGAATATGGCTTCTTTTCTGAGAGTGGCTACCCTATGAGTTTGAATACAATCTTATAAAAATGGCATTCCTATGTCCTCATGTTACTTTCTTCTTCTTCTTTTTTTAAATCCTCACCCAAGGATATTTTTCCATTGACTTTTAGAGAACGAGGAAGAGAGAGGGAAAGAGAGAGAGAGAAATAATGATTTCTGCACATGCCCAGACCAGGTACGTGCCATTGACCAGAATAGAACCCAGGACCCTTTTGTCTGCAGGCCGACGCTATTTCCACTGAGCCACACCAGTTAGGGTGGAACAGCCCTGCTTTTAATTGGGGGAGACAAGCATAGATCCTCATCACTCTTGCTCCTTGAATCGTTCCAGGAGCCTCAGAAGCTGGAGCTGCTTCTGCTCTTGCTCAGTGCCTGGGGTTTGCCTTTAGTCTTTCTACTCCCAGAGATGCGCCTATGGTTTCAATCCCTGCAGGATGGGTTGAGTCTTTTGAATTCACCCATTGTTGTTTCCATTCCTGCTATTGTCTTCTATCACTAAGCCCATTCTATTATCCAAGTCTCACTTTTACTGATGTTGGAAGTCCTTGCTTTTGGAGAAGGGATACCCTGCCTACTTAAAGATACCTGTGCAATTTGGACCCTGTCTGGCTGAGAGGTAAATTCAGGCTAAAATTCAAAGCTCACCACAGGAGTCCTGGCATGGTGCTAGGGAAGTGGGCGGGTGCTGGTCTGCCTTGAGGAAGGCTTGCCTTTCTAAGTTGCACAAAGGCACTGTAGGGGCTGGCAGAAGTCTTGGCTGTGACAGGACTTGGAGAAACCATGAGTTAGTCCAGAGTTATGGCCTTTTGCATTAGTAAAATAGAGAGACTCCTCACAGTATTTACCGGAAGGGTCCATTACAGGTGCTTCTTGTCAGTTTCTCTCAATGTCCTCCAATGGGAAGCCTTTTGTCACTGACTAGACTTCAAATGAATGTGAACATTTCACTTCTTCTTCCTTTTTAGCTGAGGGGTACCTTTGCTGCTGTGAGGAAAGTCTGTTCTCTGAGGTGAAGTATCCAGGGTGTGGCTCTTCACTAGCCTTTCTTCCCCCTCCCTCGCCCCCTCCCCTTTTTAGAAGCTTAGACATTTGTTGGTAAGTAGGACAGCCCATGGTCTCAAAAAGAGCAAAGAACATCTGTGGAACTGTCAACCCAATACCCTTCCAACTCCCTTATCCTAGGAACTGTCTCTCCTCCACCCTCCCTCTCTCTTACCCTCCCTCTTTATCACCATGGCTATATCAGGAGTGCCATTTTCTTATGTGACACATCTCCTGTTAGGCTTGATCCAACCTGGGCCAAAAGGTTGTCCCTGGAATTTTTTAAATTAAAATTGAGAGGGACTGCTTCTCTCTAGGAATAAAGCTGTAAGATTTTAAAAAGTAAAATGAAGGACTTGTACATGGTTAGGTATCCTCCTGATAGAGAAGGTTGAGCCACACCCCCAAGAAGGGTGGCATGTAGAGAAACAGAGATTCCAAATGCAGAAGGAGAAAGTGCTGGCAGCTTTTCAGCCCCTGGTTCCCACTGTTCCAGAGGCTCAGCTGCATTCCAACTTTCCCCTTCATATGGTTATACACGTCCTTCTTGGATTCTGTGACCCAGAAATCCCTGCCCCTATCCCCTTCTTTGGGCTAATTCAAGCTGTTTCTATTACCTTGCAACCAAGAGCTTTATGTATGCAAAGGCAAATAAAGTATCTTAGGAATGCTTTGCTTTTCCAGTTAAACTTCACTGGGCCTGGACTCTAAATATTATTTTACATAGATGAAAACCAGAGTTCTATTGAATCATCTGTTTCTTGGATTGCTAAATAGGATTCATTTCCCACTGAAGGGTAACAGTGAAGTGTATGGTTAAGGAAACAAAGTCTAGAAGGGGTTTCCAGTTCACAATAATGCTAATTTCCTGAGAAAATTGCTTGACCCCAGATGAGGCATTTACGAGAATTGCTTTGTTTTAAACGTCAGAGCTCTATTGTATAGTAGACATTCCTGAGATGACTTATTTTCTGTAACATATATGAGCAAATTAAACAGGGATATAATCAGAATAAACAGGATTTAAAATGTGTATGCATGAAACACAATTTGAAGAATCTCTGCCAGGGTTTCATAAGATCAATGTTATTGTAAAATTATTTCTCACGTTTGCATTAATGACATTCATTCATTCATACCTGCTTTGGGAAAACTCTGTGGAGGCTACAGGGTTGGACAAAAGGGTTTCTTACTACAGGGTGTTCATAACCTTAATCTGGAAATACACTCATGAAAGGGAATTAATGCAAGGCCAATGACATAGATGCATGAACAGAGACAACGAAGTATTCTGGAAGCATTGAGGGAGGAGACACGAACTCCAGCTGTGATGAATACAAATGGCAGATGTATATTCTCCAAGCTCACAGAAAATTATAAGTCTAAAATGTCAGCTTACTATTTTTCAATGATAACTATTGATCTCAAGTTTCCAGACATTTCTTGGGTTGTACATGAGCTTACCACAGGGCCCTTAACTGACACCTGATACTTCCCAAACTGAGATTCTATTTTATGATGACTATTTCTCAAAATACTTCACAATTCTAATATTTGCAAATTTTATAAGGCGAGAGGCAAAGCAGTGAGTGGTTTAATGGATTAAGTCCAAGGAGCAAATCTCTTTTCCTACTAAAAATGAACAAGGGTTGGCCAGCCTTTTTTGTAAAGGGCCAGATAATAAATATTTTCTGCTTTGCAGGCTGTAAGAACTTTGTTGCAACTACTCAACACTACCATTTTAGAGAAAGAGAGAGAGAGCAGCTATAGGCAATACATAACCGATGAACCTGGCTGAGTCCCAATAAAACTTTATTTTCAAAAACAGGTAGAAGGCTGGATTTAGTTCACAAGCCGTAGTTTGCCGACACCTGAAATAAAAGGAAGGAGAAAAGTTATGAGCATTTAATAAGAAGAATGTACTCACATAGTGTTGAATATAGTGGAGAATTTATAAAATGTAAAATACACAGTCCAGCCAAAGCCGGTTTGGCTCAGTGGATAGAGCGTCGGCTTGCGGACTGAAAGGTCCCAGGTTCGATTTCGGTCAAGGGCATGTACCTGGGTTGCGGGCACATCCCCAGTAGGAGATGTGCAGGGGGCAGCTGAATGATGTTTCTCTCTCACTCATGGATGTTTCTAACTCTCTATCTCTCTCCCTTCCTCTCTGTAAAAAATCAATAAAATATATTTTTTAAAAAATACACAGTCCAAAGTCCAGTACAGTGGAGGCTATCTGTGATGTAAAATGGGGTGTAAGTGAGGACCAAATACTTCTGGCTTCTAAGAGTCAGAAGGTATAGGGTCTGCTCCCCTGGAGAGAGGGAAATGGATTGTGAGCATGAGGAGCCACTGAGAAAATGAACAGGGATAAGAGAGCATTAGGAGGGAACAAAGGACCTTTAGAAGGAAAGTCTAACATGTACATAGTTTTGAGGCCCCTCATTGTTTTCTGTCTTTGCCTTTCCCAGAAGCTCACAGCTGGGTGTCACTCCAGGATTAGTCTCACGCTCAGGGCCTATCTCAGTGCTGTAGCTTCACCAAGGTAGCTTGGAATAGAGTCACACTCCTGGGGCCCAGAATCTAATGGCAACAGCGCTGGTCCCTTGAGCTGTGCCCCCTGAGATTCCTTCACTATAGAATGGTCCATGCCTGGTGCTTGCTTTTTCTTTGATAGACCTTTGGTTCTGATAGAGCATCAGCCTGCGGAATGAAAGGTCCTAGGTTGGATTCTGGTCAAGGGCAAGTGGGTACCTCGGTTGCAGGCTCCTCCCTGGCCCACTAGGGGCTTGTGCAGGAGGCAACCAATCGACGTGTTTCTCTCACATCAATATTTCTCTCTGTCTTTCCCTCTCTTCCACGCTCTCTAAAATTCAATGGAAAAATATCCTCGGGTGAGGATTAAAAAACAAACAAACCAAATCAAACCAAACAAACAAACAAAAAAACAAAGTAGCCACCTCCCAGCCTTTCCTGCCTGGAGCTGGATCCCACTCTCAAAACTCTCTGCTGACAGATGTAAGTCTACTGCAGCAGGAGAACTATTCAGATAATTGACTAATGTCCCATCTGACTACCAAACTAAACTGGCCCCGTCTCACTCATGAGCTTGTCATATTTAAGCTGGGAACGCCCTTTGGACATTGTACTTTGGACCACTTGACTGCCTTTTTCTTTAGCTGCGTCTTCCCTGGCCACTGTTCAACCAAGGAAGCCAGTCTCCATCCGTCCTGGCTTACTCTCTTTCCCCACTGGTCCTCTGTTTCAGAAACTTCACATACGCTGTGCCTGAGCCCACCTGACTTAGTGCAGTGTCATACTCCTTGTGACCACCAACTTGAAATGGGCCAGAAGGAGATAAAGGCAACTTCCAAGCCCACCTTTGACTCCCTTGTTGCCAATCTACAGTCAATATTCCCATTTCCAAGTTGAAAAAGGTAAAAATCCTCCACTGATGGAATGCAATCAGCTTTGCTCTATCATTATTGGTAAAGGGCATTTGGAGGTGTTTGGAGAAGGGTTGTGGGGCTATGTCTGGGCTTGATGAGAAGTAACACAATTAATTAGCACATTAGAATCACTTGGGAATCTTTTTAAAATCCTGATTTCTGGGCCTCATCCTCTGTAAATTCTGCTTCTTTGTTACTAGTGTTGTAGCCCCACCCCATAACAAAGAAACAGAATTTCCAGAGGATGAGGCCCAGAAATCAGGATTTTAAAAAGATTCCCAGGTGATTCTAATGTGCAGCCAAGGTTGAGAACCACTGCTGCAGAAGGTCACTGGGGTTGTCAGCTGAGAACATTTTGAAATATAGTTTAGCAAGATCGATTCAAATAACAAAGATTGATCTTCCCCTCTTAGCAGTTTTATTCCAAATGGGCCTAAATGCATTTTGTAGCCTCGCATAACCAGAATGAAAAGACTCTGTATTGATATTCTCTCAATATCACCTACATCTCGTAAGTATTCTTGCCCCAAATAACCTGAAATCTCAAACATTAAAGCAAAGGAGTGCAATGTGAGAAAATCCTCATCACTGGGTGAGGCCATAGTCCATAGGAGGCAGGAGAGCTCTGAATTCTCTAGGCAGGATTCCTTGCTGTGCTGAGTGTTTACTCCAGTACTCTTCTCAGAGGACAGTATTACCAAAGAGGCTGGCTTTATCTTATAATCTATAATAATAAAAACATAATATGCTAATTAGACCAGACAGCCAAACATCCTTCTGATGTCATTCTGGATGTCCTTCTGGATGAAGCCTCCGTGGTGGGGACAGAGGCAGAGGCGGTGGGGTGATGAGGCAGGTAGGCAGAGGGATTAGGGGCGATGAGGCAGGCAGGCAGGCAGAGTGGTTAGGGGTGATCAGGCAGGCAGGCAGGTGAGCGGTTAGGAGCCAGTGGTCCCGGTTGCGAGAGGGTGCAGGCCAGGCTAAGGGACCCCCCCCCACCCCCCGCACAAATTTAGTGCACCAGGACTCTAGTGAAAAATAATCAAAGAAATGCATATTAAAACAAATGTGAAATAATTTCAACCACTGAGATGAATAAAGATTAAAAAATTTTATATTAAAGTTATAGGAAAATGTACATTCTTATTTCCTGTTGTTGGGAGCATTAATTGGAATAACTTTTTCAGGTGTGTTTTATAGTTTGTATAAAATGTTTAATGTTCATGCCTTTTAGTTCAGCATTTAAAAAAAATTTATCATTATTGTTAAAAGTATTTTAGATGTTCCTCTTCATCCTGCCCCCAATAACCCCTTCACCCTATGCCCACCCCCTCCCCAGGCCTTCGCCATACTATTGTCTGTGTCCTTGGGTTATGCAAATATACATATAAGTTCTTTGGTTAATCTCTTCCCCCCCGGCCCCCCCTGCGCCCCCCACCTCACCCCTAACCCTTCTCTCTGAAATACGTCAGTCTGTTGCATGCTTCTGTGTCTCTGGATCTATTTTTTTCATTAGATTCCATATAAGTGAGATCATGTGATACTTGTCTTTCTCTGACTGGCTTATTTCACTTAGCATAATACACTCTAGGTCCCTCCATGCTGTCTTAAGGGGTAAGAGATCCTTTTTTTTTTTTTTTACAGCTGCATAGTATTACATTATGTACATGTACCACAACTTTTTTATCCACTCATCTACTGATGGGCACTTGGGCTGTTTCCAGATCTTAGCTATTGAAAATTGTGCTGCCATGAACATAGGGGTGCATATATTCTTTCTGATTGGTATTTCAGGCTTTTTAGAATATATTCCTAGATGTGGGATCACTGGGTCAAAGGGTAGTTTCAGTTTAAATTTTTTGAGGAAACCAGTCTTAGTGGTTTTACCAGTCTGAATTCCCACCAGCAGGGTTCCCTTTTTTCCACATTTTCACCAGCGTTTGTAGTTTGTTGATTTATTAGTGATAGCCGTTCTGGAAAGTGTGAGGTGGTACCTCATTGTGGTTTCAATTTGCATGTCTCTGATAATTAATGATGTTGAACATTTTTTCATATGTCTCTTGGCCATTTGTATGTCCTCTTTGGAGAAGTGTCTATTCAGGTCCTCTGCCAAGCATTTTTTTTTCTTTCTAAAATCACATCTGATACTCTGAGTCTGTAGGTTGCTTCTTAAATGTCCCTGGTTTTTAAAAAAATTTAATTGATTTTTTTTAGAGAGATAGGAAGGGAACGAGAGAGATAGAAACATCTATTAGAGAGAAACATCGTTCAGCTGCCTCCTGCTTCACATAGTTGCCTAAAGTGGCCTCCAGAGAGTGATTGCTTTACTTTCTCTTGCACCATCCACATCTCATTCAAAAGCCTTTTATTGACAGACACTAACCTGGAACTATCTGGGGAAGAGCATTCTGGGAAATGTAAATCTTGGTTTCTCCTCTCCCTTATAGAAGAGCAAAGCAATGATATTGATACTATACAACCCTAAGTTGGTCACTAAGCTTTTTTGTTTTAATTATATGTTCTACTAGAGGCCTGGTGCATGAATTTGTGCACAGGTGGGGTCCCTCTGGGTGGCCTGCAGGGACCAGGCCGAAACCCACAGTCCAATGCCGCCTGCTGCTCCTACCTGCTGCTCCTGCTCATCCCAGCCCCACTGTGCCTGCTGCGGGCTCACACCCAATCAGTCCCAATCAGGAGAGGCTTGTGCTGCTGCAGCAGTGCTCACCAGCCATGAGCCCTGCGTCTGACGCCCTCCCAAGGGGAGTGGCCTATGGGATCAGGCTGAAACCAGCTCTCCGACATCCCCTGAGGGGTCCTGAATTGCGAGAGGGTGCAGGCCAGGCTGAGGGACCCCACCAGTGCATGATTGGGCTGGGGAGGAACTGCGGGAGGGCTCCAAGGCATGTCCGGCCCATCTCGCTCAGTCCTGATCAGTCGGACCCCAGTAGCAAGCTAACCTACCAGTTGGAGCATCTACCCCCTGGTGGTCAGTGCACATCATAGCAAGCCATTGAACAGCCTTAGCACATCATTAGCATATTACGCTTTGATTGGTTGTTCAGTTGTTCTGCCCTTTGGTCTATTTGCATATTACCCTTTTATTACATAGGATGTTTTAAAGCCTATGTATCAAAACTGGGCCATGCATACACTGTTGTTGGCAACAATGGTATAACCAGTCTGGAAAACTGTCAGTTCCTTGAAAAATGAAATATGCAATTATCATATCACTCAGCACTTCTGTGCATTTACCCCAGAGAAATAAAAGTTTATATTAGTATAAAACCCATGCACAACTGACAGTCTGACATCCCTCTAGGGGTCCGGATTGTGAGAGGGTGCAGTTGAGGCTGAGGGACCCCAACTGGTGCACGAATCCATGCACTGGGCCTCTAGTTTAGTATATTAGGTCTACAATTCAGATTTTCTTTTTTTGTGTGTGTGTGATTAATCACTATGCTTTAATTATGTTCAATTTGTAACAATGAAAATACATCCTGCGTATCAGATATTTACATTACGATTCATAACAGTAGCAAAATTACAGTTATGAAGTAGCAACGAAAATAATTTTACGGTTGGGGGTCACCACAACATGAGGAACCGTATTAAAGGGTCACGGCATTAGGAAGGTTGAGAACCACTGGTCTAAATGGTTATAAAACCGAATATGGAGAACACGTTTCCAGGCTTGGAAAAAGTTTTTGGAGAAGAATCCAATGAGTTTACCGATGATTTGGGAGAAAGGAGTATCTTGAGACTGTGTCCAACCGAGGAAGCAGCAGTAGAGCTCCTCAGCAAAGTCCTCAATGGGAACCGGTGGCACCTGAGGCACTAGCCAAGGCTGCACATCAGGGTGGTGCCTGTCTGACACAACTCTGATCCAATAAAGGCCACCCTCCCACAGGACGTGTTGGGAATTTGGGTGGATCCCATAGATTCAAGTTATCAGTATGTACAAGGTTCTGCTGACACTCAATCCATCCGAGGAATCTTCCCCAGGAGATTTTCTGATTTTTAGTTTATAACCTGTGTCCTATAGTGGAAGGGTCTCAAGAAACAGAACTGTCACCTTAAGTAGAGAGCACCCTGTAGTACATCTTCCCATGGCATCAAGCTGCCTGTTCTGTTGGGTAATTCAAAAAGAAATTGGGGAAATCAACCATGCCAAGTATGACTCAGTGGTTGAGAGTGGACCCAGGAACCAGGAGGTCATGGTTTGATTCTGTCAGGGCCATGCCCAGGTTTCGGACTCAATCCCTAATAGGGGTGTGCAGGAGGCAGCTGATCGATAATTCTCTCATCATTGATGTTTCTATCTCTTTCTCCTTCTCCCTTCCTCTCTGAAATCAACAAAAATATATTTAAAAATAAAGAAATGGGGGGAAAAATAAAGAAATGAGGTTAGCTTGAAGGTAAAATGATGGACCCAGGTAATGATGGAAATAAGTGAACATTGAGTGTTACTTTTTGTCCTCCCTTCTAATTTTGTACTTTTCTAAAAGTCCCTGACATAATTATGGTTTTCCCATTGGACTTATAAATATTTGGCTTATTGATATTTTGGGTTGGTAAACTGGGGAAATACCAATGATTCAGTCTTTTTCCTGAGGTCAGGTAATGCAGAGGCTCTTAGATGATGCAAAGTCTCATTAAAAAAGAAAGTTCTCCAGGGAAATCTAAAACAAGTGGAGTAAGCAATTCAAGAGGCATAGGCTTGTTCATTTAGAATGTTTATTAGCTCTCTGTTTTGCTGAAGTTGTTTCCTCTAATCTGAATATTTCTAATGCTATCAAGAAAAATTCCCTGCTCTCTGGCAGCAGGATATATATTTTGCTTTCTCCAGATATGTTCAAAGGTAATTATGAAGTTTAGAAAAGGTACCCTGAATCTCTCCCTGTGCAGATATCTGGGCCTGTGCTTTGAGCATTGATCTGGCTGGTTGATTAATTCTAAAAAACAAACAAAAAAATCTTCCTGGTATGCATACAAATAAGGCCTCAAAATATGGAAATGTGACATAATGGAGAATACTTTTGGGTCTTAGCTAATCTTAGGGAACTGGTGAATAATTTATTCTCTTAATTAGTTTTCTTAAAGTCTAACCAAAGATTGCTATTTACCAGTAATTAGGATCTCCATTTCAGCTCCTTCTTTCAGAGAGAGAGAAACAGCATGATGAGTTTAAGTTGGTAGTGAGGAATTAAAAGCTATTCAATAATGTTTTTAAATTTAACAATATATATTTACTGTAGAAAATAGGGAAAAGTACTAGAATGATTAAAATTACTCCTAATTTTGCCAACTAAAGTAATCAACATTATATATTTTTCAATCTTTCACAATACTGACACATTATTTTATATAGATGAAGTGTGTCTATGTGTAAAAATGCATATAAATTGGAACCATGCTTTGCACACTGTTGTTGTGCTCAACAACATACCATAAACATTTTTTCAAATCATGAAGTTTTCTTCTACAACACACTCAAGGACTGCATAGTATTCCATTGAAATGTGTGCACCATAATTTATTTAATTAATCCTCTTATTAAACATTTCAATTTCTTATGGTTTTGCATTATCATAAATAATTCTGTGGTGAAGAACCTTGTAACTCTTGATACCCCTGATTATTTCCTAAGGGTAAATACACAGAAAAGGGTAAACACTGAACATAGATATCCTTTATTTCTGCCTGCCCAGAATTCCTTTCCCTTTTCAGATGACAGAACTGCCCTCCGATGTCACATATCCATTTCCTTTCAGGAATCACTTCTCCCCCACCTGGTGGAATTTTTTGTCACATGGTTGGGACTAATCAGGATTAACACAGTGACTAGTCCAGGAGGGGGCATGTGATCCACTCAGGGCCAATAAGAGGGAATTTTCTAAGTCTGAAATAGTACTTGGAATAAAACATTTCTTTGCCTCTGAAATGCAGGGTGCCAAGGACCATTTAAAATTGAAACTGACAGGGCCATCTTTGCCACAGTGGTGCCAACACAGAAGAAAGCAGAGCTGAGAGATGGAGAGAGAAGGGGGATTTCTGATGACACCATTTGAGTTTCTGGTTTTAGCCATGCCAGAAGCAAGATGTTCCCCTAGACTTTTCCAATTACTCGACCTAATAAACTCCCCTTTTTGCTTAAAATAATTTCAGCTAGTTTTTTGTCTTTAGGCAACTGAAACTCTTAACTAACATTGATATATATTAAAAAAATATTTTTATTGATTTCAGAGAGGAAGGGAGAGGGAGAGAGAGTCAGAAACATCAATGATGAGAAAGAATCATTAATTGGCTGCCTCCTGCATACCCCCTACTGGGGATTGAACCCACAACCCAGGCATGTGCCCTTGATCAGAATGGAACTTGGGACTCTTCAGTCCGCAGGCCATCGCTCTATTCACTGAGCCAAACCAGCTAGGGCCACATTGATATTTTTAAGATTTTGATGCATATTTCCAGATTACCTCCCAAGACAATATATTGTCAAATTTATTTGTGAAATTTTAAATTTAATTATAGTTGATATTGTTGTACTTGGTCAGTTAGAATTAACAGTATGAATCAATCTTACCTCTTCTTTCCATACGCCCTTCCCCTCCTGACTAAAGGAGAGCATCCCAGGCAAGTCATCACACTCCAAGTGTGTGTAAGGGTGAAGGTTGTGGTTGTGGTGAATATAGATCAAGCTAGGGTTATAGTATGCCTATTTGTCAGGGTGAGTAAAAGCTTTTGCTATCAAGGAAGGGAAAATAGGTCAATGTACTCCTTAGCCAGTGATGGCGGACCTATGACACGCGTGTTAGAGGTGACACGCGAACTCATTTTGTTGGTTGATTTTTCTTTGTTAAATGGAATTTAAATATATAAAATAAATATCAAAAATATAAGTCTTTGTTTTACTATGGTTGCAAATATCAAAAAATTTCTATATGTGAGACGGCACCAGAGTTATGTTAGGGTTTTTCAAAATGCTGACACGCCGAGCTCAAAAGGTTCGCCATCACTGCCCTTATATTATAATACTTCCTTTCCACTCTCAAAAGTGAAAGTTAAGAGAAATCTTAAGAGAAGGCAGTTCCAAGAAAGGACTTACTAGTAAATTATTCAGGAGTAACTTGTCAACTTCAAGTCAGCGAACCAAGGAAGAGTATTTTGGAAAGAAACTCTGTGACTGGACTAGGTGGAACCAAAGTGTTGGAGTCAGATGAAAGGAGGCAGGCCAGTGGGCAGCTGTAGGAGGAGGAGGACGGGGTGGGGTGATTTTAAAAGGATGCTAAAAGAACACTGGCAGAAATAAGTCAATGCTAACATTTCACTGGGATGAATTGGAACGCAGTGTCCCTTAACTGTGGTTTTTCTGTCGACTTTGTAGCTAAGGAAATGAAAACGGGTTCCAGTCGCATGAGGTAGACACCGCCCTCAAAAGGAAAGACAAACAATACTCATTATTAGCAGCAGCCCACCTACTGTGTGCACTAGTGATCAGCTGAAACTCCTGAAGCAATTAATGTGTGGCCTTCGCTGGTTTCTTGAGAGTAAGTGGTTTGTTTTACTCATCCTTTCATATACCTCCCAAAATGTTTTCTAGTTCCTAAAATTACAAACAAACAAAGCTGAATAGGGAAAAGAGTTTTAGGAAATGGGAACCAGTCATTAAATTTTTAAAAAAGAAGATTTCCTGTCCTTTGCTAGTGGAAGCGAAGTAGTAAGTAAATCTGTTTCTTAATACACATTTTATTGATTTAAAAAATAATTTTATCCATATAACAGAAATTCTCATTCATTGCTGATGGGAATGCAAAATGTTACAGCCCATTTGAAAGACATTTTGGCTGTTTCTTATAACACTAAAAGTATTCTTACCATATGATCCAGCAATCATGCTCCTAGATATTTCCTCAAAGGAGTCAAAAACTTATGTCCACACAAAAACCTGCACATGGCTATTTATAGCAGCTTTATTCTTAATTACCAGAATTTGGAAGGAATTAAGGTATCGTTCAGTAGATGAATAGATAAATAATCTGTGACATATCCAGACAATGGAATATTATTTGTCGCTAAGGAGAAATGATCTACCGAGCCAAAAAAAGATATAGAGAAGCTGTAATGTGTATTACTAAGTAAAGAAGTCTGCATGAAAAGTCTACATACTATATGATTCCTACTACATGACATTTTAGAAATGTAAAGAGATCAGTGGTTGCTAGGAGTTAGAGGGGAGGATGAATAGGTAGAGCAGAGAGGATTTTGAGGGCAGTGAAACTAAGTTGTGTAATATTATAATGATAGATTGTATTCATCATACATTTTTCAAAACCAATAGAATATACAACACCAAGAGTGAACCCTAATATAAACTATAGACATACATAGTGATATGAGTAATAATGATGTGTACATGTAAGTTCATGGATTGTAAAAAATGTATCATTCTGGTTTTGGATGTTGGTAGTAGGGGAGGCTGTGCTTGTGTCAGATAGTATATGGGAACTCTGTATTTTCCACTCAATTTTGCTATAAACCTAAAACTGCTCTAAAAAAATTAACTTTGTTATAAAAAAAGAGTACTAGTGATGACTGAGTGAGAGAGAGGTAAAAGTGCTGAGATGCTAGTTTTCACCAATACTACCTGAAGGAAAGTTTGCTTTTTTCTCTGACATCCTGCATTCCTCACTCCATCCCAACTTCCATTATTTTTAGCATTCAATCTCTTTGTTTTTCTCCATGTGTTTGTTCTATTAGTCTTATCTTATATTCATACTAGAGGCCCAGTGCACAAAATTCATGCACTGGGGAGGGGGGGGGTCCCTCAGCCCAGCCTGCCCCCTCTCATAGTCTGGGAGCCCTCAGGGGATGTCCTACTGATGTCCTAAACAGCAGTCTGGCCGCGGAGGCTCAGAGCAGGTGCCGTGTGTGTGTGTGTGTGTGTGTGTGTGTGTGTGTGTGTGTCTCCACTGGGGGCCTGCCCCCATCCACGTCTGAGGCTCAGAGCAGGCACCCCTCTGTGTTGTTCTCTCAGGCTCAGGGCCGTGCTGGGCCCCTCCTCCTGAGCTGGTTGTGACCATTATGGAGTCTTGACCTCATTTGCATATTACTGCTTTTCATATAAATATATATATTTCCATATTTCAGGATGGGTACACTTTATACCCCAGGCCATGGATGGACCATGCTGAGATAGTTCTAGAGTGATGGGCTCATCCCTAAATGAACACAGTTCTATATACGTGTCTGATTCCTACCTGTTTGCTCCCAAACTTTCCTGTCCCCTCACATTCTTCCTTTCTGTCTCCAGTTCCTGGGTGGTCTGGATCCAGAACCCCTGCCTGGCTGGTGGTAAAACTGGACATGTTGGGCGAGACTGGCCTGGTCATTGCCAGCCCCACAATTCTGAGTTTCTTTTGCCCTCACAAACACCCAGATGTCTAAGCCTGGCCATTTGAGTGGTAGTGGACCTGTAAGGGAGATACCTAATGCATCTTCCCCTGCCCCCATTAATTACATTACATTTCAGAAGGCTTTACCAACTCTTAAGGTGAGTTGATTTGTAGAATTTCTCCGTGTGCATATCACAGGGGTCTATGAGATATAGATGGCTTTAAGGCTTCACCGTTTTTTAAAATTAAACCATTTGCCGAAACCGGTTTGGCTCAGTGGATAGAGCGTCAGCCTGCGGACTGAAAGGTCCCAGGTTCGATTCAGGTCAAGGGCATGTACCTGGGTTGCGGGCACATCCCCAGTAGGAGATGTGCAGGAGGCAGCTGATCGATGTTTCTCTCTCATCGATGTTTCTAACTCTCTATCTCTCTCCTTTCCTCTCTGTAAAAAAATCAATAAAATATATTTTAAAAAAATAAATAAAAAATAAAATTAAACCATTTAAGAACTACTAAAGATTTTACAGCATTTAAATTATTTTTGCATTTTTTAGATAATTTTATCAGACAAAGAAAATACAGTGTTTTCACCAAGACTCCAAGTTGCAAATGGTATCTAATGAATTGAAATACTATCCTGAAGTCAATACACCTGAATTTAATCTCAGTCGCTCTCAAATACTTAACTTCTTCATATCTTTGCTTTCTCATATATACAAAGAATGGAGGGAGACTAGATGATATCATGGCTCTTCCAGGTTTAAAATGTTATGATTTTTATAATTTAAATACAAATGCAACCTGACCCTGTTTGGCTCAGTGGACAGAGTGTCAGCCTGTGGACTAAAGGGTCCCGGGTTTGATTCTGATCTAGGGCACATGCCCAAGTTGCAAGCTCAATCCCCAATAGGGGGCGTGTAGGAGGCAGCTAATCAATGATTCTCATCATTGATATTTCTATCTTTCCCTCCCTTTCCCTTCCTCTCTAAAATCAATGATTAAAAATAAATAAATAAAAGCAGATGATGACTAAGCCAATACCATTTCCTCCTGTATCATGTTTCTCTCAAAGTGAAACCTAAAAGCCTAAATAAACTTACATTTAGGCCACATTTCAGATTTCATCAACTCCCCAAAGAGACTGTCTATGGGTCAGAAAATGCTCATCTTGAAAAGGGGCAAGTCCGACTCATACAGATGTTCTTTCCACTCAAATGCAGACACTGTTTTTGTGGAAATAGTAGAAGAGTTGAGCCAGCCAGAGGCCCCTGACTGAGGAGACTGAAAGGTCTCCCAGTGCAACCACTCCCAAAGGCGGGTCCAGTTTCTATGAGCTGTTTCCTGCCTGAACAAACAGTCCCTCCCAAGCCTTTGATGCTGAACTGGTTCAGAGACCACCCTTTGGGATCAGGTCCACTCTAGCGGCCAGGGGCCTTGGACAAAATGAAGTGTGAAGAAAGTGGTCCCTGGGATTTGACACTATGGCAGCCCCAGAAACAACATGGGTTCTTAGTCTGGTAATAAATAAGATGAGCCTGTGCCAAACTTGGAACTCATTCCTGGGTCTATCCTGGCTTATGTCAATGTGACAGACAGGACTGGCCATGGGGAAACAGGAGCCAAGACTCTATGGGTGGAAGTTTGGTTCTTGACCAAATTGGGAGGCTGTTTGTCTTGGAGTTCTCTTACTTAGTTCCCTTTTTAATATCCCCTCACCTCCTTTTTTGAAGCTTCACACTCTCCTAGCAAATTGGCACCTCTCCTCATCTCAGCTGCCTTAGACAAGGATCAAGGTCGAAAGGATTTGATTAATTCAAACAAATTTGGAGCAAATGAGAATCTAAGATGTCATTCTTCTCAAATGAATTTTTACTTCATAGGGGACTCTGATTGTAGTCTTCTATAAAATCTCTACTAATGGAATTTCATATCTACAGGGGAGAGAGATTTGGATGAAGCACTTTTCAATGCCTTCTTATCATACCATGTTTGATAATACAAGGAAGCATTCATTTAATGCCAGCCAGGGGGCAAACACTGTTTTATCTACATTACCAATGCTAACTCAGTCACTCCTTACAACTATATGAGGTAGGTGCTCTTTATATTTTTTTTAGAAGGAATCTTTTTTAATGTATTTTTATTGATTTCAGAGAGGAAGGGAGAAGGAGAGAGAGAAAGAAACCTCCATGATGAGAGAGAATCATGGATCGACTGCCTCTTGCATGCCCCCTACTGGGGATCGAGCCCACAACCCAGGCATGTGCCCTGACCAGGAATCGAACTGGTGACCTCCTGGTTCCTAGGTTGATGCTCAGTCACTGAGCCACACTGGCTGAGCAAGGTAGGTGCTCTTCTTATCCCCACTTTATAGGTAAGGAAACTGAAGAACAGAGAGGTTAAATAACTCTCCCAAAGGTTGTGTAATTGATAAAGGACAAATTTGGGATTCAAATTCATTCAGTCTGCTTCTAGAAGCCATGCTCATAACGACTATGCTATTCTGCTTACTCTGTTTAACACTTCCTCCAATCCCATTCTAAAAGTTTTAAGCCAATAAAATTACTTACATTTTTACGTTGAGTTAAAATTTTTCAATGGGGAGCCCCAGGATGTGCTAGGATTACATTTATTTTCTTGTACCACCCATTTTCCCTGTGGTTACAGATTGCCTTTCAATTTTTTCTTTCATTCTTTGCCTCAACCCTTAATATTTTCCATCCTTTCAACCCCATCTTCTAGCACACAAAATCTTCCTATTACTCCATCGCCCTACTCACTTCATTCTCTCTGTCAAAACCCTCCGATGACTTATCTTTTCAGTGGACACTAAAGCCCTCATGATCTGGCTCCTGCCTGCTTTTCTGACATCATCTCCTACTATTCTTGTTTCACTCCCACTCTTCAAACACACAAAGCTCATGTCTACCTCTGGGCCCTTGTACTGCTCCTTCTTCTTCCTGAAATACTCTTCCCCAAAAGTTTCATAAGACCCAGTTCCTCTTTCCATTCAGGCTTCACCCCGTGTCTCCCCTTGGAGAGTCTCCCTGTCGACGCTGCCTGAACTACACACCTCTCCTTTCCCTGCTATATTTTCCTTCATAGTATTTACCAGCTCCTACAATTAGTTTGTGCACATATTTATTACTTCTTTT